ACAGAACTGCTCTATTCTGTCTTGCTCAGTCTGTACCTGGAGTCCTCTGTCACGTTCTGGGCAATCCATTTTAAGAAGGGTATCGACAAGCTGCAAAGGGGAATTTAACAGACTGGAGAACTGTCTAACAAAGCTTTACATTTGACTTTCTTCTGTAATGTTTTATTCTGAATTGTTTTAAGGTGTAGTAAACGGGTGGCGCTGTGGGTTGAAGCATAACATGAGTCAACAGTGTGATGCAGCAGCGGAAAAAAGCTAATACGATCCTAGGCTGCATCAACAGAAGTATAAATCAAGGGAATTAATATCACCGCTCTATTCTAGACCACACCTGGAATATTGTGTCCAGTTCTGGGCACCACAATTGAAGAAGGATATTGGAAAGCTGGAATGTGTGCAGAGGTGGGAGACCAAGCCACAGGAAGAATGGGCAGTGAAAAATAGGAGACTGAGAGTGACATGACAGCCATTTTCAGCCAACAGAAGGGCTCTCCCATGGAAGATGGAGAAAGCTTGTTTTCCTCTGCTTTGGAAGGTATAAATCCATTGATTTATTACAGTCACAGATCATAAATACAGACATGTACAGGGATAGAGAACATGTATATATACATAGGTTAAAGGGGTGTGGGTGGCGCTGTGGTCTGAACCACTGAGCCTCTTGGGCTTGACGATCAGAAGGTTGGCGGTTCAAATCACTGTAATGGGGTGAGCTCCTGTTGCTCGGTCCCAGCTCCTGCCAACCCAGCAGTTCGAAAGCAGGCCAGCGCAAGTAGATAAATAGGTACCGCTCCAGCGGGAAGGCAAATGGTGTTTCCATGCGCTCTGGCTTCCGTCACAGTGTTGTGTTGCGCCAGAGGCGGTTTAGTCATGCTGACCACATGACCTGGAAAGCTGTCTGTGGACAAACACCGGCTCCCTCGGCCTGAGAGCAAGATGAGCGCCGCAACCCTGTAGTCACCTTTGACTGGACTTAACCGTCCAGGGGTCCTTTACCTTTACCTTTTTTATACGTAGGTTACAATTAAACTCTGTAAGCTAGAGTACGGCAAATAGTACAAATGTAAAACAATGAAAATATGTAGGTTAACATCTCAACTGCTAATTTAAAATATGAATGTCATGACATTGGCCATTAGATTCATTCAGACCTTGACTCCTGAGTTTTATAGCAGGTAATATATGGAAGGCAGAACCTGAACCAGTGGATTCAGACAAGGAGAAACCTGGCAGACTCTCCTTCCTTGGAGGCCTTTAAACAGAGGTTGGATCGCCATCTGTCAGGGACGCTTCAGCTGTGATTTCTGCACTAGGTTAAAGGTAAAGGACCCCTGGGCGGTTAAGTCCAGTCAAAGGCGACTATGGGGTTGTGGCGCTCATCCCACTTTCAGGCCGAAGGAGCCGGCATTTGTCCACAGACAGCTTTCTGGGTCATGTGGCCAGCATGACTCAACTACTTCTGGTGCAACGGGACACCGTGATGGGAACCAGAGTGCATCAAAATGCCGTTTACCTTCCCGCTGCAGTGGTACCTATTTATCTATTTGCACTGGTGTGCTTTTGAACTGCTAGGTTGACAGAAGCTGGGACATAGCAACGGGAGCTCATCCTGTTGCGGGGATTCGAACCGCCAACCTACTGATCAGCAAGCCCAAGAGGCTCAGTGGTTTAGACCACAGAGCCAACCATGGGGGTCCAACTCTATGATTATATAAACATGCCCCCTAAGCTATGGCAGAAACATTGACCTGACCCAGCTGACTCTTATATTCCTAACCCCCACCCCAACCTAAGAGATCCCCAGGGCAGAAGAAACTTTGGAGAAACCAGAAAGCAAGTTTTGCCACAGTACTTCGAATTAGCATCTGAGCTCTGGCGCCCTGGCAGTGGCCGAGACCCAGCCCTTCGCCCGCCACCCCACCCCACCTTTGTTCCTCTTGATGCAACAACGCTGGACCCCCAGAGTCACAGTTCAGCCGGCCTTGCCGGGTGGTCAGCCGACACAGCTCATGAATAATAGAACAAAGACTCAGGGAGGTGGGGAGGAGGAGGGGGAGGGGCGGTCAGGCGAGAAATTTGCAGAGTCGATAAAGAAGACCCCTCCAGACACAGATACACACACACACACACACACACACACACACACACCACTGCAGTGGCTGCTGTTTCAAAAAGAGAGAGGCATCTACGGAGGAGACGGAGCGAGCTCCTGGGTGGAAGGGCACTCGCTTCAGTCTGAGCCCATAACCAGAGCCCTGCTGCATGCCGCAACAGCGCCACACGGTGGCCGACCCAGAGGACGGGCAGGGCGGAAAGGCATTTTGTGGCGAGGGACAGATCTGTCACACACACACACACACCCCAAACCGAACCGTTTAGGGCCAGCCAAGGGGGTTGTGTGCATCTCTGCAAGAAAGGGCAGTTCTATTTCTTGAATATATTTCTGTACCGCTCACTTGCAGAAGATATCAACACGGCGTGTGATGACATGTGGAAATGCAACATGAAGCCATTTTTAAAAATGCAAAAAAAAACCAACAACAGACAAAGCCATCGTAAAAATAATAGAATCGTGGAGAGGGAAGGGAACCCCCCAAAGATTATCCATTCCAACCCCTGGCAATGTAGCAATCTCAACTAAAGCATCCCTGACAGATGGCCATCCAAACTCTGCTTAAAAACCTCCCAGGAAGGAGAGCCTACCAACTTCCATAGAATCATAGAATTGCAGAGTTGGACAGGACCCTGAGGATCATCGAGTTGGCACCCCGCTTTGGTCAGACATGCCGCCTTACGCCAGGAGCAGGGGGTTGGACTAGATGTCCCTCGCGGTCCATTCGAACTCTATGATCCTACGAAAACAGGCTTGCTAATTGGCTAGCTTCACATATATATAGCACTGATTGGCTGGCCTTTCTGATGTCACAAAGCCACCAACCTGCGCTACCCCAGGGCTATGGAAGGGTTCACAAGGTTTTCAGATAAGGGCAGATTCCCAGCCCTACCTGGAGACCTTCTGCATGCAGAGCAGATGCTTCGCCACTGAACTCCCACCCTTCCAAAAGTATCAAGTAAGTTTCTTGTCCTCATTGCGCTGAATATATAAAGGGCTGGTTTAAATAGGAGCCTGCCTTCTACCAAGTCAGACCATTGCTCCGTCTTGCTCAGATTGTCTACACTGACGGGAAGCAGCCCTCCAAGCTTTCAGATGGGGGCGGTCCCTCCCAACCCTACCTGGGGATGCCAGGCATTGGCATGACAAGCATAGGTCTCCCTCTCTATTATGATCTGGACCTAAAAATAAATCAGGATCCTAGTCCTCATGGTTCTGAACCAAAGGCTGATTTAAATAGGAGGCTTCTGCTGGGGTCAGACTGTTGGTCCACCTGCACTGGCTGGCAGCAGCTCTCTAAGGTTTCATGGAAATGTAGAGTTGGAAGGGACCCTGAGGGTCATCTAGACCAACCCCCTGCAATGCCGGAATATACAGCTGTCCCATACAGGAATCGAACCTGCAACCTTGGCGTGATCAGCACCATGCTCTAACCAACTGAGCTATCCACTCTCAAATGGCTCTCCCTGCCAGAAAATTATTCCAGGTCTCCTTTCTTGCCACTCAAATACCTATATCAGGCCCTGCCCTTTGGAGCAGGAGAAAACAAGTTTGCTCCATCTTCCATGGGACAGCCCTTGAGATCTTTGAAGATGGCTCTCATATCTCCTCTCTTCCAAGCTAAACATCCCCAACTCCCTCAAGCGTTCCTCATCAGGTTTTGTTAAAATGACTGGGCTTGGCATTTTCATGCCTGCCACCTCGAGCAACCTTGGAGAAATGGGGGGGATCTAAATGCAATAAATGAATAAACCAAAATAATCCAGAGGCGACAGGGGGAGGTTTAGGTGAAGGTTAAAGGCACAATTGTTTGCTTATAGCAGAAGATGGAGAACCCACCGGCTCGCAGGCCAGATTGCATGCAGCTGCCAGACCTGATTTCTCCTGCAGAGTCCTTTATCCCCCAAGCGAACTACACCTGACCTAGGCCTGACAAGAGACAGTGTTAGCTTGGGAGTGGTACCCAAGGTCGGTTTGGATGATGAGGGAGAGGGAGGCAGCATCCTACAGGCAGTCAGGGATGCAGTTTCCATCGGGAAGAGCCAAAAATCATTGAAAGCATGAGATCATCGCTCAGAGGGAGAGAAGTTGGAGAAGATAAGTTCACAGGCAGGGATGTCTTGGGAATGGATGGTAAATGGAGAAATGTGGATTGGGGGGGGGGTGTCAGGTGGGATTGCTATGAGGAATTATGAAAATATGGAGCAAGCCATTGTGTCCACAATGAAAGCATTGCGTTGACTGGGTTTGATTCATTGACAATAATTTCTGATTGAATCCCACAAGCCTCTGCACCTCTGCCATTTGCTTTCTCTACGCCTGACAGGCACCTATAAGCATTCTAAATACACAGGCCAGTTGCTTCACCAGGCATCCTGAGCCATAAAGATAGTATGTAACTTTGATGTAGTTTGTTAATCTTTAGGTAGATCTTAAGGGCCAGGAAGAGAGTTCACAAGGAGATGGTAAATACTACCTGTTCTTCCTTTCCTGTTTACTGCTGTTTATGACCTCCGGAGTTTCCTAAAAGCATTCCTCCTTGTTTCCTATTTTATTTACTCTGAACTACGTATCCATGCTCAAATTAGCTCTTTGTAGTTTTAACTTTAACATAGGGTTTTTTGAAATGCTCAGAGGAAATCTGATTGGTTCTTACGAACACTGTGTAAAAGGTTCTTTTGTGAATAAAACGACCTGGGCCAAGGGGTGGGTGGAATTATTATTGGCACCTCCTCCCAGAGTCTTGCTGGTCAAGCCTCGTGTGTATTCTATTAATCAGGGTCCAATCCTTCCTTGCTTTTGGAACGCAACAAAGAAGCATGTGCAGAGTTCCAGCGCAGGCAGGAAGCCAGCAGAGGGGTTTCCAGAGGGGCATCACACGGCCTACCTGAGCCTTCAGGGTGGTGGCATCGAAGACGGTGACTTGGTTTCCGCAGCTGGCCCACACGGCATCGTCCAGGGTCAAAAGGGTCCGTACTGGTGCCAGCCCCACTGTCAGGCAGGCAGGCTCAGCCTCCAGGTCCCAGAACCCCCCTGAAGAAAGGAAGAGCGAGAGCGGCATTAGAAAAGGGGGTGGCGGCTGTCAACAGAAAGCTGGTTTCTAGGACAAGGACTGTCAAGGAGCACTGCATGGAGCAAGACTCAAATCCTAGAAAACAGGCATAGGATTGGTTTGGCCTGAGCCAGCCGCAGAACCTGGGCAAGCCTGGCAGCTCTGACGCACTTTTGTATGTGGGAAGCCCCAAATTCAATCCCCTGCGTTCCCAGCTGAAAGGATCCAGTGACAGGGAAAGGGGGTCTCTCTTTGCCCAAGACCCCGGAGAGCTGCTGCCAGTCAGAACAGGCAACACCAGGGTACTTGGGCAAATTGTCCAAGCTGGTATGTTGCAGCTTCCTAGGTTCCTTTCTAACAAGCCAGACATAGGTAAACCCGGCCCTCCAGGTGTTTTGAGACTACAGTTCCCATCATCCCTGACCACTGGTCCTGTTAGCTAGGGGTGATGGGAGTTGTAGTCCCAAAACATCTGGAGGGCCCAGTTTGCCTATACATGTAATAAGCCAACTAAATTCTGCAGGATGTTGAGATACAACATTATCATTTCATAGCTCAGATCCAAAATTCATCTGCGGACAGGAAAAGCTTCTGTTTGAGACCCCAGAGAGTTGCTGACAGGCCATATTATCACCGAGTTGTATCATTGCAGAGTTGGAAGGAACACCCAAGGGCTATCTGGATCCAACCCCCTTCAACGCAGAAATCACAGCTGAAGAATCCCCGACAGATGGCCATCCAACCTCTGCTTAAAACCCTCCAAGGAAGGAGGGTCCACCATCTTCCAAAAGAGACCATTCCTCTGTCAAACAACCTTCTCCATCTCCAGATGTTTTGGACTACGATGTCCACCGTTCACAGCTGGCTGGGACTGAGGGGTGTTATCAGTCCAAAATGTCTGAAGGGCACCAGGTTGGGGGAGGCTGGCGTAGAACTGGCAAGCAAATGCTCCTGCCTTGTGTAAGGAACCTTCAGACATTCGGGTCTCATCAACCAAACACAATGTGTTCTTAGGAAATCATTGGTTAGGCAGACATTCACACAGCAAGTGGAAAAATTTACACTGAAATTTTCTAACGAGGTCCCAAACATGGAATTTTGACCCTGAAATGACAGGGGGAAACGCCAGAGAAACTTCTCTGAAACCTCGCAAAAGGCAAACGAGGAAGGGGAAAATGTCTTTACCTGTTGGATTTCTCCCCCTGCCTTCCTCCCTCCCGCCATGTTTTCCGGTGAAACAGCTGCCACAGGCCAGCAAAACATACAAAGTAAGCATTGTTTAAGGCTTCTTATTTGTTTACAGTACTACACACGGATCCAGCTGTGCAGATATTTGAATCTGCAATGGTTTGGTTACTAATCCCTCGTGTCTGGATAAGTGAATTTCCATATAAGGAGCTTTTGGATAGCGGGACCTGACTGTACATTCCTGCCATGCCGAAAACCAGAGGTTTGTCTGGATAATTCACACCAGAATGTGAACTTCCAAGTCTTGCCCACCGCACAACGCCTCTCAGAAGCTCCTCTGCTCTGCCAGGGATTAATCTTCCCTGCAGGATTGAGCTCAGGAGAAACTGGGCCCGCTAATTGGCTAGCTCCACAAACAACACTGATTGGCTGGCCCTTCTGACATCACATCCTGCGGAGCAGAGCCATTGTGGCCATTATCCACCAAAAACCTTCTCCTCTGTGAATTTGTCCAATCCTCTTTTAAAGCCAACCAAGTTGGCGGTGATCACTGCCTCCTGAAGGAAGGAGTTCCGCAGTTTAACGCTGCGCTGCAGAGGGTTGGACTAGATGACCCCTCCAACTCTAAAATTCTATGATTCTCTGTCCTGAATCTCCCAATACCAAGCTTCAACTGATGTCCCCCACTTCTAGTGTTATGAGAGAGGGAGGAAAAAACTTTACTCCATTTTCTCCATGTTGACTCAGCCATTCGGACCTGGCTGAGTGGGGTCTATACAGCGACACTCTATAGCTCTAATTAACTCTGATGCTGTAAATCTGAACCTGGTAAAACTTCTCCAGTTACTCAGGGCTGCCTTCGATTTAAACTGAACATCAGAGGGACAAAAACAAGGCACGGACAGCCAAACATATGGGAAATGAGCCTTTTATTTTCCTTTGGAATGGCCCGGCCAATGCCAAGCCCTGTAGAAACAGGCTGCGCGGCTCCTGAATGGGTTTGTGTGTACGTCACAAATAATAAAAAATAAAAAATGAGGAGCTGGAACAGGAAGCACCCTAACAGCGGAGGGGAGAGACAATGCTGTCCGTTTGCCCAAAGCCCCACACCACAGCTCCCTGGGCAAACCACATGTCAGCAGGCTAGGGAGCAAGCTCTCCCCACTGATATGGCAAGCTGAAGGCCAGATCGGTAACTGGCAAAACCACAGGAAGCGCCAACACACACACACCCAGCATCTCGCCGCAAATCACACACCAAATGGCACTATTACGTTCCCAGTTATCCACTTCGCATCAATATTTCTCCCCCTCTCAGCGACGCAGGCACCGTTTTTCTCTGTGAATTGTAGCTCTTACCAGCTAGACAGAAGCATCGCTATTTTGGACGGGATCTCAGTTATTTCCAGCCAAAAGGAAAACGCTCAGAGGGAAAGTGCTGGAGATGCGCGGCGGGGAGGGGGGGGTAAGCCTTGAAGTGAAAAAAGGTTTCCCTAGCTGAATACAGATATATAATACTGTGGTTTTGGATGTACAGAGATATCTGTTCTCCGTTTGCACCCTGCTTTGGTCAGACATGCCACATTGCCCAAGGAGTACGGGGTTGGGCTATCCATTCAAACTCTATGATCCTAATTGCTAATTGGCTAGCTTCACATATATATATAGCACCGATTGGCTGGCCTTTCTGATGTCACAAAGCCACCAACCTGCACTACCCCAGGGCTACGGAGGGGTTCCCCAGGTTTTCAATTAAGGGGACATTCCCAGCCCTACCTGGAGACCTTCTGCATGCAGAGCAGATGCTCCACCACTAAACTCCCACCCTTCCATAAGTATCAAGTAAGTTTCTAGTCCTCATTGCGCTGAATAAATAAAGGGCTGGTTTAAATAGGAGCCTGCCTTCTACCAAGTCAGACCATTGCTCCGTCTTGCTCAGATTGTCTACACTGATAGGAAGCAGCCCTCCAAGCTTTCAGGTGGGGGAGGCCGCTCCCAACCCTACCTGGGGATGCCAGGCGTTAAATAAGGGACCTATGATATGACAAGCATAGGTCTCCCTCTCGATTATGATCTGGACCAAAAAATAAAAATCAGGATCCTAGTCCTCATGGTTCTGAACCAAACAGGAAGTTTCTGCTGGGGTCAGACCTTTGATCCACCTAGCTTACAATTGTCTGCACTGGCCAGCAGCAGCTCTTTAAGGATTAATAGAAATGTAGAGTTGGAAGGGACCCTGGCAGTCATCTAGACCAACCCGCTGCAATGCCGGAATATACAGGGGTCCCATACAGGAATCGAACCTGCAACCTTGGCATTATCAGCCCCACACTCTAACCAACTGAGCTATCCAGAGTTTAAGACAGGGAGTATTCCCAGTCCTGCCTGTCTATGCTCCCAGGAACTGAACCGGGGACCTTCCGCCCACAAAGGCAAGGCCTTTCCCATGAGAGCTATCGCCTTTCCGCATTTGTCCTGCCCATTACCAACGAGAAGCCCACATCGAGCCTGAAGACGAGCCACTCCCCATCAAAGTGAGTGTCAGAGGCAGCTTCCCCATCACTCAAAGGGCAGGGCCACCGCAGGGAACGGGTTGACCTCTCCCACCCACAGCATTGCCCTGAGCTTTGGGCGCTGATGACGAGTGACCCTGCTTTGTGCCGGCCTTGAAGGAAAGGCTGCGGGAATGTGGTCTCGAAAGCGGAAGGACGCCGATGGGAAGGGGAAGATCAAAAAACCTGAAAGCATCAGCCGCCGCTGCCAGCTCTGCTGCAAGGGCAAAAGAGGAGAGACAGGGAAAGCAGAGGGAACTGTCAAAGGCTGCCCTGCTGTACCAACACAGCAAACAGCCAGGGGATTCTTAATGGGCTTCGGCGAGGCTCCCCAGTGCCCTGATTCCGGGACGCAGCACAGCTTCAGTCTGTCATCGGCCCCATCTAATGCAATCAAACACAGAAAGCTCCTTTGTATTATTCAGCAGCTGAAGGAGGCTGTGAAGCATAGTGGGGCTCACACCATTCGGGGTATCTCTTGCAGCCTACCCAGATCACATCTCCCCGCAAGCATGCACACATGAAATGTCGTGCACATAAAAGGGAGTTTCATATTATCCATTTGTTGCCTGGATATGCCACTTTTTCCTCCAGGATTGCTCCAGGTGGCACACATGTTTCTCATCCCCCCCTGTTTAGTCCCCACAACAACCCTTTGAGGTAGGTTCCCTAGGTGGCACAATGGGTCAGTGCGTCGGGCTGTTAACCAGGAGTTTGGTGGTTCGGCTGTGGACAAGATTCCTGCATTGCAGGGAGTTGGGCTAGGGGTCCCTTCAAACTCTACCATTCCATGATACTAGGTTAGAGAGAACAACAAAAGAGGTTTAAAGACACTTTCAAAGGTAAATCTTAAAAAATATAGTAGTATAAAGGTAAAGGGACCCCTGACCATTAGGTCCAGTCGTGGCCGACTCTGGGGTTGCGGCGCTCATCTCGCTTTATTGGCCGATGGAGCCAGTGGTCATATGGCCAGCATGGCTAAGCCGCTTCTGGCGAACCAGAGCAGTGCACGGAAATGCTGTTTACCTTCCCGCCGGAGCGGTACCTATTTATCTACTTGCACTTTGACGTGCTTTTGAACTGCTAGGTTGGCAGGAGCAGGGACCGAGCAACGGGAGCTCACATAAGCACTGAAAATTGGGAAATGCTGGCCTGCAAGCGCTCAAATTGGAGAACAGCCTCTACCAAAGGTGTCATGGACTTTGACGACACTCGAACTCAGGACGAAAGGGAGAAAAGAG